GCCAGGGGAACGGGGGGCTCCTTCCCTGCTGAGAGGAAGGAAGGATGGACTGGGCTGTGCTCTGCTACAGGCTTCCCCTGGTGTTTCATGTGCTGCTGGCTAGGTAATAACACACGAGGACTCCACGACAGTAAAGCTAAACTGACTCGGTATTTATTGTGACAACTGCATACCAGTGCCGTAATACTGCAGCCTGTTCGGTCTCCCATTTCTGCAGATGAGCTGGCTCCAGCATCTTGCTGGTGCAACTGCTGTTTCGTGGGGACTTGCTTTCACCCTCATTCATCCACACCCTTCCTGTGCTCCCCCCAGGTCCCATGCCAGTGCTATGGTTTTCCTTTCAACAGTTTTTATCCTTGTACCCTGTGACATTTGCTGGTTTTGTGTTGCTCGCATGCCTCCTTTCCTAAAGCCAGCGTATGGCTGGAGGTGCTTCTAAATCCCCCTGGTCCCGGCCTTTGCCCAGTTGGTTTAAGGAGTAGGGAGCAGGCATCCCCTGCCATCCCACGGTTGTCTTTGGTTTGTCTCCACCACTACCCCGGGTAACCTCTGTCCCGCTGCAGCCTCTGCCACTGTGTCGTGGGGCTATTTGGCGGCTGGACCAGACTGGCTCACCTGTGCAAAAGTGCCTCTGCCTGTGGCTGACCAGCCCACTCCTTCCCGTGTCCCTGGGAGGGTGTATGCCAAGGAGGGACCCCTTCCTCTCTTTTCCTGCAGCCGTGGGCAGCAAAGCCATTCTTTTCCCCGTTCCCCTTGCGCTGTTGCTACATCTGCCTTTTGTGTTGTCTGCGAGACAGGCACTGGGCCCTGGCGCCTGCCTTCTCCATCACCCCATCTCCATCTCCTCCTGGCGTCCTGCAGCTGCAGTGTGTACGCCGGTCTCTACTAGAGGCTGTCCTGGTTCGGAGCCTTTTTCTGTACAGGGCCGGTCTGCCACACTTGACATCGAGAGGTATTTGTCTAGGGTCAGATCTGCTGCTCCCAGCAGTCTTGTGGGTGAATTATATGCCCCACGAACACATGACCCATTTCTAAGGGATTGCCACAGTTATACGTGGGGGCTGTAATTCCCAGCCCTGTTATACACATATCCATCTCCCCATCTGTGTTTTGGTTCTGGGTAAAAGAACTTCCTCCTGTCTGTCTCCTCCTCTGTGGGCAAAGCACTCACCAAACACCGTCGTCATCTTTTCCCCCAATGAAATAGCAAAAAAATTGTCTCTGCATTCTTACCTTGATCCCCCGGAGTCATTTCCTTTATCCCTTACACCCAATTCTATAAACTTGCTCATTTTTGCTTCCCTGGTTGTGCAAAGGTTTTTGTCTGGAAATCCAGTGTTCCCAGGGGCCTGAGTCTTTTCCGTGTTGCAGTGCCATTTGTCTCTGCTGAATTGGTGACGGCTGAGTTGCTAGGTGCTGAGTTGCTTTCCTAGCACTCACTCTCTTCTTGGCTGTAGGCCTCATACAACCCGAGTGCTGCCAACATGCCCAATGTCCCCCTTGCTTGGTAATAACATGAGAGGGCTCTGAGCTTGCACAAAAAAGCTGGCTCTTTATTAAGAGAACTACTTGGAGAAGTGCTTCAAAGGCAGGTAGCGTTCTCGCTGTGTCACACACAGTCACTTCTTGGTGTCTCTGTAACAACCGGCGGGTTCCCTGAGGGTTGGGTTGGGAGCTGTAGGCGATGATTTTGGGGGCGATACCAGGAAACTCCATGCACTGGGGAACTGTGCAACAGCTCTGAGTACATGATGCTCCTCATGGCTGCAAGGAGCAGCAGCGAAGACAGCGCACTTAAATAAGGATCCTGGTTGCTGCAGTCTGAAAAGCGCCCCTTTATGAACGTGCAGAGCTCAGTGCATGAAACCTCCTCCAGGACTCTCCCCCCGGCCAGCTGCACTTCCCTCCAAGCTCTGTCTGAAAAGTGCCCGATCCTCATTCTTTAAACACATTGCATTTTCAGACGTGACTAACCTAGCAAAACGGTGATTTTTGGTGCTGTTTCGTGCTGTGTATCGAAACAACGTATAACGTGTACAAGCGCCCAGGGCTGGGTCGCCAGGGTAGGAGATGAAGGAGCGACATGGATCCGTTATGGCACCATCCCCAGTCCCCTTTTCTGCCTTCTCCCACAGCTGGTTTGGGAAGGAGTGGAGATGCCCAGGAGCGCCTGAGACCATTCTGGATAAAAAGAGAGGAGTCCGGGGAGAGGGAGAGGGCAGAGACCAACTCAAGGCTGGCTCTGCTTCCTCCCTCGTGCCTCCTAGCTGCTGACCCCTTCTCCCCAAGCTGCTGTCAGCATCTCCTGGCAGCTCCTCAGAGACATCTCAGCTCTGGAGTGAAACGGAGAGAGGAGCTGGGGGTCCAGAGCTGCTGAAGGAGGATCTTCTCCCCCTCAGCACCAGCCACGGCTGCTTCTCCCTTTCCTGTGTGCGTTCGTTCACCGCCTGTCCCAGCCCCAGCTCCGAGCGGGCTGCCAAAGAACAGCTCTGGCCCAGAGAGCGTGGTCTCCTTCCCTCGTCCCTGATGCTCTCCGGGTGAGCAGAAGCAGGTTACCTGTAGCCCCTCCGTCTTGAGGCACGCTCGGTAGCTGCCCCCAGTGCTTGTCTAGTGGTAAAGGCCACTCATGGTTTCGTCAGGAGTGCTGCGATATTTGCCGTTCCCCGACTGCAGGAGCACCTCAGCTCGTGCTGAAATACAAGACAGTTTCTGGCTCTCTTGGTTGCAGAGGAAAGCCTAAAATTGGGACCTGAGCATGGTCCCAGAGGCTTGGAAACCAGACAGCAGGGGCAGAGAGACAGCTGCTTCAATCCCAGGAGCTTTAAGCTATTCCAGGTAGTTTCAGGGAGTGGGTTGATGATTTTGGGAGGTGTAGGTTCAGCCACACTGCTTGGGCTCCTACCTCTGGGAGTGCTGGCCTCCGACTTTGTTTCCTCAGGGCCGGCTGTGATTGCCAGTACTCACCTTCCTCTTCAGGACACGGAGAGGCTGATGCTGTTTTGCTCCTACAGATGATCCTACAAAGCCAGGCTCTTCCCTCCCAGCCCCGAGAGCAGGGCACTCTCTGTCCCCAGCCAGAGCTGGCAGGAGGACAGTGCTTGTCCCCTGGGTCTGTGCCTTCTCTCCAAGGCACTGGAGCTGATCCCCAAATGTTTAATGAGGGGCAGCGAAGTCAGAGCCAATTTGTCACTGCCTGCGACTCCCATCTATCTGGCGGGTAGGATGGGAACACAGTGCACAACAGATTTTCATTGAGCGGGGATTGTAATCGTTTAGAATTTAATGTTGTAAAGAAATGTTAATTACCTGTGGCAATGAGTCGCATGTATTTGAGATGTAGTCAAGGGGAAAATCGTGCTAAATTACCACTGTTTATGCATATTCCACATCAAGTGCAACAACGCGGGGTGAGCCGAGGCCTGATTAGCTGTGGCTGGTGTGAGCACACGATGGTGTCTGGACCGGGGACATGTCAGACATTGGGCCTTATCCATCGAAGCAGGTTTTCACGGGCCCAAAGCAGCTGGAGCAGCCCGGGGAGTCTTGGACCAGACCTGTGCGGGAGCTAGAGGGCTCCAGTGTCAGGGCCGGGGTCCGAGTCCAAACTCGAGCCTGTCCCAATGCTTTGCCAGGCATGTGGGAAAATGCTGGTGACAGGCTGTGCTAGGTTTGAACCTAGGGTGCCAGATGGTATAAATTTTGCTGTGTTTCATATTTCCCCCAGGTGTAGAGGGATGTCTTCCTGCCATGGGAGATCACAGAGCGGGGTGGGGAGCTGTGCGTGTTAGGACCGGCAAGTCTTATTCTCACTCCTCTGTCTCTGGGCCTAGCAGGCCCCTGACATCAAGAGGGACAAGCATTTAACAAGCCAGGAGAGAACTGGCCGTGGAGAGAGGTCTTCCAGAACTGAACAGACAGGAAGAAAGAGGGCTCTGCCACCCTTACCCTGACCCCCACAGGAAGCAATGGGGATGAGATCCCAAAACCCCCTTGGAGGATTCAGCCAAGGAACAGGTCCAGAGCAAATGTTTCTTGCTCTGTTCAGTCCAGTTGCATGTTTCCATCTGCCAGGAGAGCTCTTTCCGGAGTCACCTAGGACAGGATGGGATTTATTACTTACTTCGCTGTATTTAAATCCCACTGGCCTGTGCGCCAGGGGTGCAAACAGCCATGTACAAACCCCACCTGCCAAATAAATGACCAACAGTCCCCACTTCTCCACCTGGGCTCCCTTTCTGGAATGATAATGGCTCCTACAGGACTCGATTCCTCCTGCCTTGCCCTCAAAGCCTGGGTGCACAGGCAGGCCTAGCAACATTTCCTGGTATCCACGGTCTGGGTTGGACTTCAGCCTGGTTCATGTACTGAGGAAATCTGCCATGGGAGGGCACAGGCCGCGCCAGCAGTCACTGGGGCCATGACCTTGCATTGAATGCCAAATTCCTATGCAGTCTTAGGGTTTGAGGAGCTGATGCGCCCCAGATCTTGGCTGTGGCGGTCCATCAGCATCCCCACCCAGCTTTGCCTCAGTACTGCTTGTGCCCCCAGTGAGGCCTGTGGTCTGCTCACCTCCTAGGACAGCAAGCTGCAAATCTCGAACAAACATCTCAGAGTATTTATCAGAAGCAAAGGTCAGCTGCTGTTACAGCCCCTCACTGGGAAAACCGTGTCACCAATCGCACGCATGCACACGCACACGTGTGGAGCATGCACAGCTTAACGCACATAGGAAAATTCCAGCTCCAAGCATTTCTGGCTGGCCCTCAAAGCATACCCGCACCCCAAAATGCCATATTGTTTAGGTAGGTCCCCAGTTATGATGCGTGCACATCGTGGTTCCTCCCACGTGACTCCTATTGCTGTGAGTGGAGCCAGTGGCACTTGGGATCCTCTCTCCCCACCCTTCTCTATCTCATCAGCTCCAGGCTCTTCGTCGCAGCCCCCCGGAGCTGACAGTCTTCTATCAATAAACAGAAAGTGTGGGAAGGGCTCTGCCAAGCCATCTGTAGCTTGGCCCATTTGTTTCCCTCCCTCTCCATCCTCTGGGGACAGAATAACATCTGCTAATAAGCTGGCAGGATAGCAGAAATGATAGATGAACCTGTCAAGGAAACGATAGCCAAGAATGAGCTGCTCTGCAGTGTCCAAGTTGGTGTTTGGGGGTAGCGCTCTGCATATGGCAGCAATTTGGGGAGAAGGAGAAGCTTCTTTCAGAGTCTCTGGATGTGGAGCAGGAGCTTGAGGCTGGACTCTGTCTCCCCTCATTTCTCCTGCAGAAGCATCCCAGACAGGCGTGTGCAGGAGCGAAGGGCATAGCTGGGTGACAAGGAGTAGAAAGGACACCGGGCTCAGCTCTGGGAGCTGGTTTCATGGACTCTTTCATTTACTGGTCAGTCAATGAAGCAGCAAGTGCTGGAAATCAGCAATGGACGGAAAGGGAAACACGTCCCATTTCTGGGCACCCGTGGGTACCAGGGCCATATGCCAGCAGCCAGAACTGGGCAGCATTCCCAGGAGACAGTTCTTCTAAGGATAATGATGGCATCAGGGAGTGTTTCTAGTGACGACCTCATCCCTGGCTGGGTTTGACATTGAAAACCAAGTGGCACCAAAGCCTTGCCTCTCCCACTGGACTCCAAGAGCTCCATAATCACAAGAAATGGGTCAGGGAGACCGACATGGAAATAAGCCACGTGGATGTCAGCAGCTAGGATGAAATTTGGGTTATAGGAGGTCCCAACAGCAGTAGGTGGCAGTAGTCAGTGCTAGGTGCTCTCCAGGCTTTGCACCTCCAGTAGCTCAAGTGTTGATGTCTGATCCATGCACGTGGCTACTGGATAGTCAGACCCAGAGAAACACTGTGACTCCTACCTACTATACTGCATCCGCTTGGTTTAAGTTGGGAGTCTGTGTTTACTATTGTATGGTGAATATCGAGCCAAGTGTACAGGCCTATAACAAGTGGGAGCATCTACTGTGTGTCCTCGAGGGCCTTATGGCAGCAGGGAGAGGCACTGTTGCCATTAAAAAAAGGATAATGGAGAATTTGCTCCTGTGCGAGCTTGGCAAAGCTCAGGAAACCCTGTGTGGGGGATTGCCAGCCAGTGACACGTGTGCACAGAAAGGGCATCCAGCACAGCTGCCTGCCAAGCGGACAGCTTTCACAGCCCACCAGTGGAAAAGATTGGGTCCTGGAGGGCCCTGTGCTTGCAGCCATGAATGGAGAAGTGGTTTGTTTTTCATAGGGTGTAAACAGAGGCCATTGCAGCACAGCTGGGCTGTGGCCCAGCCTGAACTGTACGGCCACCGGCTGTGTTCTCAAGTGGAAGGGAGAGGCCTGGGGCACGTGTCCTTTTTCCCCCGTGTTGTGAATTCAGTGCTGGCAGAAGCTGCAGGGTTTGCAGCTCCTGCAAAGAAAAACCTCTTTAGCCACAAAGGGGCACAGCCCAGGCAAAGCTTACCCC